CTGTGTTGGAGCAGAGCAGTGTGGAATTGCAGCATCTGTGGGACGGAGCCCATGTGGAGCAGGGTTGGAGAGAGACCATGGAGGAGTAACTGTCTGCAACTCATTCCCTTGCATTGCTTGGGTGGAGGAAGTAGAAGAGGTTGGACTGGGAGAAAGATGTTTCTAGTTTGCTTTCACTGCTCTATTAACATTCAATAAACTATATTAAGCTGTCTCTCCATGCCCAGTCTGTTTTGCCCACGCTGGTAACTGATGAGTGATCTCCTTGTCCTTATCTTAACTCTTGCTTAAGCCCTTCTTTTTCTCTTATTTTCTCCTGCTCTTTCGTGAGGGGGAATCAGAGGACAGTTGTAGGGTTTAGCTGCCTATCAGGGTGAAAAAACCACAAATTATCTAATTTTTCTTTTTTTTATTATTATTCTTTTTTTTTTTTTTAATTAATCTTTTTAGCAGAGAGGTTTTCTCTCAGCATAGAGACCTGATTCTAGTCTCATAGATAATATTTAATTTGCAAGATAGTGTAATGAAAATATGTTAATAGCTTTTTCAATAAGTTAATAGCTTTCAAGTTCTTACTAATTAGTTTGTTAAAATATTCTATTGGTAAAATACTTACTTCTTCCCTGGTAAAACTTAAAAACGTATCACAATCTTATAGGGGCCATCTTGCCAATAGTAAGGGCAGAATTAGAAGTAGTATAGAAAATTTAAAAAAAATAATTAGCAAGTGAGTGATGAAGGAAACTGCCATAATTAGCATCAGAGATCACTTTCTATCATTCTACAGCAAAATCTAAAACAGCAGAGGAGTGAATCTTCCATAGAAATAAAGCATTCTTAGAACAAGGATAAAGCAGACATCTTGTGATAGTGCTAGGTGTTTTGGATTCCTGACTACCTAAGATGATGGCTGGAGGAGGAGTGAGTAGTACTCCATTTTCAGCCCTGGGGGCTAAAGTGCCATGGAATAAAAACATATGCCTTCAGGTGGAAAAGACCAGTATCTCTCATTTTCCAAGTAAATGCTCCATTGGCAGGGTAGTGCAATACTTTGATCAATTAAAAGTAACAAAGTACACTTTCTTTGATTTATTTTTTTTATTTTTTTCCCAAAAGATGCTCATTACAAAGCATGCATGTGCTGAATGGCCTGCTCCCTGTTATTTAAAAAATAAATAATCTAAGGCTTCCTTGTTCGGTCATTGGCCAGGAAATTGTTAGGGATTATTCCCACCTTCATTTCTCTTGCCTTCCCTATTTTCTGAGCGCCACAAGAGTTTTAATGTCTTTGACAACTCAGTTGCTTTGAAATGTCACAGAATTAGCCACTGGATTAAATTTAAGGTAAGATGGTGTACTAGCCTATATTTTAAAAAATTTATTTCAGATAATTGATTGCAAAGCAATATGAATCTCTGATCAGTGTTTCAGTTGATGAGAAAAAGAAGTTGAGAAGCAAATAGACAAATATATTGGTGTGCCCCTACTCCTGTCCCAGTCTGAGTGCACTTACCTCACCATCAGCTGTGCTCAGTCCATGCAGACACCTCTGGTGTGGTGATGGGCAGTATAGCGGTTTGTGGTGGTCTGTGTGCTAGTTTGTTTCTGCTTCTTTGTGCTAATGGTTCCTGTATGGATCTACAGTAAGCCATATTCCCAAAGTAGCGTCCGTATCTTGCTGTCGTCATTAATGGCTGTAGTCCTTTTGGGGTGTTCCTGCCTGTGAGCAGCCCTTAGTCACAATCCCTCAGTTGTGCCCATACAGTCTTCTGGCTTGGAGTGCCCTATCCGCACCACATGTGTCTCCAGGCCTTCAAGGCTGCCTCTGTCTTAGATAAGTCCAAGCTGAGATAATGTATGTTTCTCTGATTAAAGGTTTTTTCTGCCAATTTCATCTGCTCTCAGACAGACTGGATCCACATTTGGTTGGTACATGACAGATTATGACTTCCTTCCATGCTGATTTGCAGCCCCTGTTATTTAAAGCCTCTCATATGCTCATTATTGCTAGGTAAAAAAACTGAATGAATGAGTAGGCAGATCACCCAGTGTACCTATGGTGTTTTCTTGTAGAACTACGGGGGAAAGAAAAGGAAGGACACTAACTGTTCCTCTGCTTTTTTTTTTTTTTTTTTTTTTTTTTTTTGGTGTGTGTGTGTGTTGAAAGGCAAGATATTTACATTATCAATCATGCGGTGAATAACAGGCTTACTGGGAAGTAAGTAAATTTCAGTGAATTTCAGTGTATAATAAGAGAATTCCTTGTAGACTGGTGTTAGATAGCAAAGACCAAAGGAGAAATTGCATTTGAAATCCAGTCTCTCTTGTATTTTTAAATGAGTGGTTTCATCTCACAATTGTTTTAACTCATAATTAAGCACTTAACTATACTAATTGAGTAAAGGTAAATAAATAAATATTGCTGAGACTCACATTTGATTCCCAGTCCCTAGGAATATAAAAATGTGGTGAATGTGTAATTTTAACAGGAAATTCACAGCCTTCTGTTCACTCAAACTTTTCTGGAATGTCTTACTTTATTAGGCTAATGCGTTACTTTTGAAAATGTTATCCCTCTCTCTGAAATATATCATTTCTACTTATCTTACAGTTAACTAGGTCACTTTTCTTTTGTGGTGTTTTTTTTTATTTGTTTGTTTGTTTGTTTGTTCTTAATAGCATTTTTCTTCTTCTGGAAAATAATTTCCCAGTTACATGCTCTGGTGAAGTATGACGACTCTGGTCATCATGAGACTTCAATACTTTCTTGGTGGTTTAGTCTTCAAGCAAAACTTCATATAATTATCATTTGCATGTGAAATGTGTTTTGATCAAGTATGATATGGTTTTAAATTGCTTGTAAGCACATAGAATTCAGTGTTGCACTGGGCCTATGTTTTTAAAACATTCATATAGTAACTGTTCATTAAAGTGTGTTTGTGTTTTTCACAGCAGACAAAATTCAGTTCACATGGGGAAAAGGATGGAGCTGTAAAAAAATAAAAATATTACATTCTAACTGACTTAGAATAATTAATAAAAACAATTTCACTTCTACCAGTCTTTGTGGAAGTCATGAGTTTATAGAAGGAATTGAATGAAGCAAAAAAGTTTGTTTAGAAAACAGGGTTAGAATTGTACAAGGAGTTAAAATTTGTTTTGGTCAGCTTCCAAAAGCTATATCCTAGAGGAAACCACGTTGTTAGTATATTACAAAACCTTTAACCTCTAGTTCAGTCTAAATGTCTAATAAAAGAAAACTTGCCCTCTTACTCAGCAGTTCCTTGGGGCTACTTTTTCAAGCATTTTAATTCCACAAAGTTGTTTGTTTTTTTTTTTCAATACATATTAACTTACATGGGCACGCTTATTATGACAATTAGGAGGGAAAAAAAAAGATGAATTACTGTAGAGGGATGAGGAACAAATGAGTATTTTAGTTCACGGTAAATGTAAATATATTGAACAAAGTGATCCCTTTTTAATGCTGTGGGCTTAATTGTTTTTTTTGTTTTTTTTTTTTTTTCCATGTGTAATAGTACATTTTTTAATTCATGTGTAAATAATAATTTTAGTTATGTATAAATGATGTAAATGATCACAGTAGAGTTTTTGTTTCAAACAGGTGAAGATTTTGACAATCTTCATTACTGAGGTCAGTAATGAAGTCGTTCACTTGGCTTCTGTGATTTTGGAAGATTTTGGAAGAAGACAGATAATTGATTTGCTGTAACAGAAATTTCTTTGCAGCAGATTTTTTTTCAGATTTGTGGTTTATACTTTTTATTCTTCTTTATATTTTTTTCCTATTTCTTTCTCCATATACTTTGGATTTACTGATTCTCCCAAATATTTGCTAACTTGGATTAATATCTTCTCCCTCCCTTCCACCCCACCATGACTGAGAGAAAATAAAAGCTGATTTAACTAAAGGACCTTAAGAAAATCTTTATTAAAACTTGCAGAATCCTAAGGAGATACCTGGTAGTAGACTTTGCATCTAGTAGAGGACTAAATACATCAATGGACATTAGGTGAAATTTGCGAGATTTGATAAGATTTAGTTTTATAGCGAGGGTTCTCAATATGGAATAAATACTGTAGGAATACAATGGACTCTTTAGAGTCTGAAGTTTCTTAAATTGAAAATAGAAATCATTTAAAGAAGAGAAGGCCTTCCAGTACTCAAAGGAAGCATATAAACAGGAGGGAGTACGACAGTTGAGGACGGATAGCAATAGAACAAGGAGGAATGGTTTTAAACTGGGACAGGGGAGGTTTACGTTAAATATTAGGAGGAGTTTTTCATGCAGAGGGTGGTGACACACTGGAACAGGTTGCCCAGGGAGATTGTGGAAGCCCCATCCCTGGAGGCATTCAAGGCCAGGCTGGATGTGGCTCTGGGCAGCCTGGTCTGGTGGTTGGTGACCTGCACATAGCAGGGGGGCCAGGGGGGTTGAAACTCGATGATCATTGTGGTCCTTTTCAACCCAGCCCATTCTATGATAAACTATTGTGTTAGTAGGATTTTACAAATTAATTTTGAATAATATAATTGTGTTGTCTGTGTTATAGCAGTAGCCAGCATAAATTATCATCTAGTTCTCAATAACTTTAGATCCTACAAATTTACAGTTAAAGCTCTGTCAGGTGAGAAAGAACGTATTAGATAAGTAAGGAAGATAAAGGAAGAAGAACAGAAGGCCTGATCATGAATGGCATTGTGACAGAAGTCCAGTTATTCATTTACTATACATCTGCTCAGAAAGTGTTGCATAGGTCTGATAGTCAGTTAGCTAATAGGAGGAAGATGTTTACTTTGAAAATAGGAAGTGGGAAGGGATTTTAAAGGCATATCTGCACCCTGCAATGCAAAATTAATTAGCCTGTGAAAAGTGTGATTGTAATGAAGTTACTAAGGCTATAGCTAGCGTTTCTTCATAGTATTTAAAGACATTTGAAAGTATTAATAGATCTAAAGAATAGCTAAATCAAGTAGGTTCATTTTGGGTTTTCGTTTTATTCATTATTTGATAAGTTTATAGTAGTTTGGTTTAGTAGGCTTTTTTTTTTTTTATAACAATGAAAGCTTTTCTACCTATATTGTTTTCCTTTTAAACAATTGCAAGATTCATTTTAGAAGATCATTAAATTTCTGATTTTTTTCATTCTCTACTTCAGACATGATAGTAGATAACTTGCTGTGTATTTGTCTTGTCACTTTATAATAACTTGATATGTGCAGTACTTACACTGAAAAATCCTTGCTTTAAAAATGTGATTTTTTTTTTCCAATTTGGTCTTAAAAAAAAAAAAAAAGTATGAGAAATACTCTATCCTAAATATATAACTATTGCAAATTTGTAAGTCTGTGCCTGGATATTACTGTTCTAGAATAAGCACGGCCATAGAAAATTGTGATTACTAATGTACTGGTAAATCATATTATGTAAACAAGTTAACTTGCGTCATTTGCAACTATTGTTCACTACACCAAGAAAGGATAAGCTGGCCTAAGCTACCAGGTTAACTCTCCCTCTGTGAATATTAAAGAAAGCAAAGTAGAAAACAATATAAAAATCATGTAAACATGTTAAAAATCTTATATATACATATAATATATAATCTTTTTGTTCTACAAAGAGACAATAAAATTGTAACTTGATTTCATAGTAATTAATTCAATATTCTATATTATATAAATTATTTATACTTCACATAATACATTTATACTATATAATATAAAGTGAAGACTTACTTTGGTAATCGAAATCAAGCACTTCAAGATCCATAGGTTTTTTAACTAAAATGTGCTCAAAACAAGTAATCAAGTAACTTTCTTTCTTTTAGTTGTTCTTAATGTATGTTCCTTTTGATTAATAACAGTATAGAACAATCATGAGATAACAGAGCCAAACACAGTCATTTAAAGTACTACTCTTGGTGAAACAAAGTCAAACTGAAGAATCTTACAGGTGTTGATCAAGGTGTGGCTGTGGTCTGTCAACTCTTCTCATTTTCTCAAAACTGCAAAGCTTTGTGTGCCTGACAGAAATGTTTGAAAGTGTCAATGATTTACAGGCTGGTTTGGCCCGGTTCCATGACCAGTGGGGCGGAGGGATTTTGGAAAATCCACGCCTCCGGAAAAAGGGAAACAGGGGACCCCAAAGTAATTAAAAACAGCAGCAACGATCTGAAGAGAAACAAACTAATTTACTAAATATTGTATCGGAACGCAAGATAACACACTATAATGCAATGTAATTAGAATTGCAGCTAATAAATCAAATATAATGAGAAAGAGAATGTCTGAAAGGTGGATAGGCCTCACCATAATGCTGAGGTGAGATGCGCAGTCCAGTTGAGCAGCAGGGAGACAGGAGGAGAGCCAACAAAGAAGAGCCAACGAAGAAGAGCACATCAGGTGACCTTGCCATAGCTCCTCTCTGACCACAGAACTCCCTGGGGAATGTAGTTCTTCTCTTCCAGACAGGTACCAGGAACTTGAGCATTATCAGTTAAACTCCCAGTGCACTACATGATGTTATGATGTGGAATACCGATAACCAACAATCATAAAATCAAGACAGAAAGCTAGTTTGCAACAGGATTTACTAAACACTAACTTAAAAAATGCAAGTTGTACTAAGAAGCAGAAGCACTGAAGTGAGCTGTGTACGATTTTGAAGCTGTTTGTATTCTAGTGGTGCATATTAGCAGACCTAGAACTTCTTGTGTAAAAGAAATGACTTGGGCCTCAGAATCATTTTTCCTTGTTGATCTTGCTATGAACATTTTCATTCCTAAGTAGGATTTGCTCTGTTTGTCTTAAATGATGAGTAAAGAAGGAGTGGGAGCTTTGGAACTAAACCATTTGGCGCTGGAGCTATATGAGCATTGCTTAATGTGTGGATTGAGGACATGAGACAATTACAGAGTAATAGACATTACAGATGGAAAAAGACCTGTTAGGTCATCCAGTCTGTCTCTTTACCAATTCAGGACTATTCCCTATAGAACATTTCCAACAATTTGTCTAGATTGGTTTTAAACATCCCAAATGATGGAGATTCCACTACTTCCCTTGAGATGCTTTTGTACTGCTTTGCAGATCTCACTGCCAAGTAGTTTTTCACAATGCTTAGCTGCAGATTTTTTCAGTACTTACTTTTTTATAACTCTATGTATTTTGTCTTTTCTAAACAATTCTTTAATAATTCAGAATATTAGTCATATAGATATTAAAATTTTATTTCTATCTCAGTGACTGTGTTTCCTCTTAATCCTCTACAGTGAAATTGTGTGAAATTTTTAATTTTCAGAAGGTTTTTTTTTACATGTCAACTTTGCCAGCTCTCTAATTATTTTCATTGGCCTTCTCAGTACACTTAATCTATCATAGTGCATATGAACCCCTCTTCATAGTGACCCTCTTACCATTTCCTCATGGACAAATGCTAGGAAATACTCTGGATATGTTGATATAAATCACTCTGAATAAGATTTCCATATACAAATTCAAAGATAGGTAATTGTGCATCAAGGGAAGAAGGAATATTCACAGTTCAACTATCCAGTGTTCATGTATGTACATTATTGGTGCTCCTTTGGGACAGTACATTAGCAATGTGGCAGTAAGACCTGAATGCCTAAATGAGTTTTTGCTGAACATTTCCAGGTATAAACTTTACACTTGCCTAGAACAGGTGTAGGTTACCACTGTTACAGACATTTACATACTAATGTTGTGATGCCTTTTGGGAATTAGTGTTTCCTGATGATTGGTTCCTTTCCTACAAGGTTTTGTGAGGTTGATGGCTAGTGTAGTAAGGGAGAGTAGCTGTGTTTTGTATTTATACTTATTACAGACACTATTTCTCACATGCATTTGTTACTTGAATGTGTGATTAATTCATTATACTCAATCAGCAGTTTGACCAGTGTCTTGCTTCAATTTATAGGAGAGAGAGGAGGTTGTTTTTAATATATTTATACCTGGCATGAGATTAAGAAACAATGCTTCAAATGTTGGTCCTACCAATTTATCATAAATCCTAATCAGGGAGATGGGGAAAGGAAGGACAGTGACTATTACGAATTAGGGTGATGGGGAAGGGAAGGAGGACGATAGAAAAGATAGGAAAGAAGCAAGAGTCACATAAAGCGGGGATAGTCACCACCAAGATCCAGCAGCAGTCCCGCTGCACGGCGCTTCGAAGGTCCGAGGCAGAAGCAGCAGGGGGAGAGCAGCAGCGTGGCTGGCTTTGGGCAGCAAGCAGGTAGCAGGTAGCAGAGCCAATCCGGGAGGAAGCAGCAGGATTCAGGTAGCAGGCCCAGGAGAGTCTGTCAGCATGCAGGAATTCTGTAGTGAGGAATCTGATGGCAGACACCTTTGTTCTTCTTTAGCATCATGATGGAGCACAGAGCAGGTCCAGGAGGGAGAGAGGCAGGGCGTGAGGCTTCTCATGTCAGAAACCTCGTCTTCTTCATGAGGAATCTGTTGCCAGTAAACCTCATGGCTGTAGGTCCCCTTTTTATCCTTCTTCTGCCATCGTGGCATTCCTGGACACTTGGGTAAGAGTCATGTGCAGCACCTCCTGAGATGGCCATCTTCCTTGAGATAAGCTCACACAAAAGAGTGCTTCCTGGCCACTAATGTGTGGTTTATCTCTCTCTCGTTGCCCTTGGCCTTGTCCATCTGTGTCCTTCGAAGGATTTCACAACCCTTGCCCAGGACTTGCTTGGACTTGTCCATCTGTGTCCCCAACAAGCTCTGAGACAATGATGTAAAAGAATAATCTCTTACAACCAGTTATATGGCTCTTGAAATACTGTTGACCATTTTGTGACATCAAGAATTGTGTAGATGCTTTGGTGCAAAGTGTCAGTAGAGAGTGGTGTTCTGACCAATTTGAAAACATTTACTAAGTCTTTTCTTACAAATCAAATAAAGTGACACTTCTCAGTGGCAGAAGAAGTCACTGGTGAGTCGAAGAAGGCAAGCATCACTCCCATTTTCTGGAGTGGGAAAAAGGAAGACCCAGGGAACTACAGGCTGGTGAGCCTCAGATCTATGCCTATGAAGATCATGGAGCAGAATCTTCTGGAAGCTATTTTAAGGCACATGTGAGATGAGGAGATGTTCTGAGACGGCCAGCACAGCTTCACCAAGGGCAGATCATGTCTGATCAATCTAATGGCTTTCTCTGATGGAGTGATAGCATCAGTAGACAAAGGGAGGGCAACTGATGTCACTTACCTTAGCTTCTGTATGGTCTTTGACATGTTCTCATGCCACATCCATATCTCTAAATTGGAGAGATACGGATTTTAGGGGTGGACAATTCAGAGGATAAGGAAATTGGTTGGATGGTTGCAGCCAGAGGGTTATGGTCAATGATTTTGTGTCCTAATGGAGTCTTGGAACTGGTACTCTTCAACATCAACAACCTGGAGAATGGGAATGAGTCTACCCTCAGTAGGTTTGCTGATGACATAGTGAGTGGTACAGTTGACACAAGAGAAGGCAGGGATGCCAGGGTGCCCAAGCCACCCAGAGGAACTTGGACAGGTTTAAAAAATGGGAGCATGTGAACCTAATAAGTTTTGACAATTCCAATTGTGGTGTGTCCTAACAAAATTAGGATAATCCCAGATATGTGTACAAAGTGAGAGAAGAACTCACTGAGAGTAGCCCTGCAGAAGCAGACTTGAAGGTCCCAATGAACTAAAGCTGGACATGAGCCAGCAGTGTGTGCCTGCAATCTTGAAGGTCATCTGTGTCTTGGACTACATCAAAAGACTGGTGGCCAAGAGGGCAAGGGAAGTGATTGTATCCCTCTACTCTGCCTTCATGAGCCCCCATGTGAAATACTGTGCCCAAGTCTGGGGCACCCGGTGTGCAAATGATAGAGCTGTTAGAGCAGGTCCAGAGGAGGGCCACAAAGATGTTCAAATTTCTGGAGCATCTCTCTTATTAAGACATGTTGAGGAAGCTGGACTTGTTTAGCTTGGAAAAAAAGAAGACTTCAGAGAGACCTTATTGTGGCCTTTTCAGTACTTCAGGGGAGTTTATAAACAGGAAGGAGACTGACCTTTTACATGTTCTGGCAGTGATAGGACAAGGAGAAATGACATTAAAATAAAAGAGGGGAGATTTAGGTTAGATGTTAGGAAGAAATGTTTTCCTCAAAGGATGGTAATGCACTGGAACATGTAGCCCAGAGAACCTGTAGATGCTTCATCACTGACGACATTCAAGATTGGGCCCTGGGCAGCCTGATCTAGTGGTTTAATACATATTGTTCTGTGCTCACATGGCATTATAGGATTGTTGAATCATAGAGTAGCCCAAGTTGGAAGCAACCCACAAGAATCATCAAGTCCAAAGTAGATTCCTTAAGTATCTAAAAAATCATACCTAAAATCCAATAAAAGAAGTATTGTGATTTGTGAACAGCACTAGTGTGCATTGTACAATCCCATAAGCAATAGCCATTGTGTTACCTTAACCCTCTTTTATGCAACCTTACCTAAAAAATATACAGAAAATTAATCCAGCATTCACGTCATTTAGTGAACTTCCACATCCAATCCAACTCATCACTGGAGATATAAAATGTTAGGGTTTTTTTTTATTTAAATGCGGATGACCTAGAATGCATTTGTGTTCTTTGAGTTCTGTGTTCAGGAGCTGTCAAGTCTACGTGGTGACAGGATATTGGGCAGGATACTGGATAGTGCTAGATATGTGGATGGAGATAATAAGTATGATACCTGCTGGAAATCATATGTCTTCAATGCAGCAGAAGTATATTTCTCATGTACAATCTGCATAGTTTTTTCAACTCTATTTGTAGCCACTGACCTGGGAACAGGCTCTTTACTACTGTCTCCTCCCTGCAAAACAAAAAATAAATTTATCCATATTTATGTAGAAAAAACGTGAATTAATTGCTACGAGGTAAATGTAATAATAGTAGTTAGGCCTCCATTTTCTGATCACATAGATCAGATTGTGCTCTATTCGTGAGTTTGCAGCTGCTCATCCTGATGTCCAAAGAAGAAGACTAAAATTGTTGGAATTCTAACCAACTCGTTTTTTTCTGCTGAAAACTAATCAGTTTGAATAGCTTTGTTCATATGTGTAAATAGGAGGAGCCTAGCAGAGCTCAAAAATACTGACAGTAGGCAACACTGTGTATCTGCAACCAGAAGCCATTTTGGACTGCATCAGGGAGATTTCCAGTCGTTCCTGGGTAGTTCATGGATTAGCTATCACAGTGGTTCTGTGAAGTGTATCTGGTGAAGGTAAAGCCACTAGCTCACTCAGCCTAAGCACAGGGAAAAAAACTAAGGCCTTTCCTGATGTATCCTTATGGATGTATCCTTAAATATTCCTAATTTATGGCCAAGAATACCCCTTGAAAATGTGATCTGTTATTATACTTCTGTCACCTTTTCAGGATCAGTATCACATCTGTTGCAAATAAATGCACGTTCCTTTTTTTTTTTTTTTCTTTTTTTTCTTTTTTTTCCCCCGTGCCTTGAAGTTTCAGAAACTGAGACTGGGTGCACATTTTCTCACAGAAAGAGTCGTCTTTTATCCCCTTTCTCTGCTGAATGCATCTGTGGTTCCAAATCAGAACAGGCAGCATCTGAGATTCTTGCCTGAATAGAGAAGACATTGTCTTACTTGTGTCTGCCAGGCCATTCTAATCCATAGTTTGCCTGAAAAATGGATCCTATAGGACAAAAAGCAAGTTTGAAGGTCCTCAGTAACTGCAATCCAGTACTCTGGGTACATTTAGCTGTAAATGGAATTTCTCTTGCATGCTGACACTGAAAACTGTGTACTGACCCAGGAAATAAATTTTTATGTACATGTTCTCCTTCTATGACCTTGTTACTTTTAGTTCCTTAGCAGATGGCTGTAATTGGACATTAGTGTTCTGTAACAGTGCATTGTACCATTCATTTCTGAATGGAAGCTGCAGCTGCTTCAGTGATGCTTTCTTATCTACTTTGTCTTCAAAAAAAACATGGTTCTGGTTTATCTTGTTGAAATGTACAATCTTCTATAAGTACATCCAGTTATTCATAAATATGCAAATAATTCCAGACCAAGTGTTCATGTTGTATTATTAATTTTTATTTCTGATGCAGACGTGACTGATATGATTTTACCTAGCTATCTGATCTCAAACCAATCTACAAGTGGAAAGTTAAAGTTTTATGTGTTATCTGAGACAGATCTACTTCCTGATTCATCATATGTGCCAGAAATATACTAATGGATCCATAAAAGAAGAAAAAGAAAGAGGAAGAAATCCATGTCAACTAGGTCTTGTTTGAAAGAGAAAAATCTTAAAATTCTGAAGTGCAGAGGTGTAACAAGAGAAAGTGAAGTGATTTATGACCAGTGGTTCCTATGAACAAGAGTGACACATTCCTTGTTTTGTACTATAGGCTTGAAAAAGAATTCTAAGGTGCAACATTTATGTCTGCCAGTCTTGCTTTGAACTGTTGCAATTTTTCTTTGCAATATTATCTTTTCCTGTTCTGACTCACTGTCTTCTTGAATCCACTGTGCATCCATTTAAGTGAGCTACAAGCTGCCTGTTTCAGGTATTAGGCAGTTTTCTTTCTGCAAAAACCTGTCTATAAAGCTCTTATGCAAGGGGGCACAACTATTAATCTTCACTGCACTTACAGTCCTTAATTACACTTGAGTGCAATTCTGTCTTGAAATTCTGTGTCACAATGAACCTGATTTGTGGTCTTGCACAAACTACAATTCTTTATGATGGTCTTTCTGTGTCCTATTTAAGGACAAAGTTCCATCCCTTTCCAATTTAACACTGTCATTTAAGAATGGAATACTAATGTCCAGTTCAAAATATGCATCACATGCTTGGTCTATTTTTTTTTCTTCAGCTGTAGGAAGAAGGCCTGTCACAAATTTCAGGAACACTTTCTGTGATAATAAACAGTTTAAGAGTGTAGTTTTGTAGTTTGCCTAAAGTGCTCCTTGCAGTCTTTTTTTTAGTAACACGGAGAAGCTTGCTCATCTGTCTAAAAGTCCAGAAAAAAAGTGATTAAAAATCCTTCATGTGGACACTTTAGTAGAGTTGCTGTAGTTCAGGAACTTTCTGGAACACCTTCTGGAGCATATCAATTGCATTTTTTAAGGCAGCAAATCTTATGTCAGTTTAATGTAACCATACATATATTCCCTATCTGTCCCTTCTTAACAAACTTCAGCCTTTTTGATTTTGTGAAAACTATTCAATTAGCTGCTACTTGCAATAGCTGCCTCCAGATCCAAGTTATTATATTCAATTAGCCTAACGTTTTGTTTTTGCAGTTCCTCTGTGTTCCATCTTAAACATCAGATGTAAACAATGAGTATTTCCTATGTGTAATTACATGGCAAATAAAACAGATTATTATGTGTACTTCTTCTGCCTCTCAAATATATTGAGATTTATGAAAGCATATGCGTTTGCTTTATACAATATCATCTGAAATGTTGGTGAACAGTGGACTGAATGCCCTTGAGTATGCACATTAGCAAATACAATGCTTTTAGAAACAGTGGTTGTTGGAGGTTTTAAGGGGATTCCTGCACGTGATCGAATCAAAAAACCTCTTCTATGAAAAACACCATCTCCCTTGTTATTTCTGCTGTACAGAGCTTGTAGGTAGGAGACCTATTCATTGTTACTCATAGCAAAAAACACTGCTCCACATACTTTTCTCTCATACCAGGAGATGAAAGGCTGCTGTGTGCAAAGGATGTCCTTTTTTCCTTCCCATCTGACTGGCTTTAGCAAGATGGCCTGTATTAGAAGCTGTTTGTTTTGATCTTCTGTGGAAACAGTGAAAGAAGATTCTACAGACGATTAGTCTTTTAGTCCAACCAGACTGATCTTCCTTATTAGGGAACTCCTTTCAAGTTTAAGAATGCCTCAAATGCTGTCACCAATGGAAGACTGTTGCAGCGCATCCTCTTATGCTCTGTCCTGGAAACAAAATTGTACTGTCTACATTTTGTTCTTCTCAAAAAATAAAACCTGCACTCTGTTATCAACACCAACTTGACAGCTTTCCTGGCTCACCACACAGCTTCCCAAGTATCTTGCCCACAATTTTCAAATTTTCTCTGTGTCTACAAGTAGATAAAGCATTGTCCAAAGCAGTGAAGGTACTCCAAGTACATTTCAAGTGCTTTCTGGATCCTCTACAAATTTTTTGTTAGCTAATAGAATTAAAGAATTGCTTAGATTGGAAAAGGCCTTCAAGATCATCAAATCTAACCATTAACTTACCTGACCTACCAAGTCCTGCCACTAAACTTTGTATCTTAGTGGATGCACAACTCTTAAACAGTTCCAGGAACAACAACTCTGCCGCCTCCCTGGGCAGCCTGTTCACTTTACCACCTTCTCTTTGAAGTTCTTCCCAATATCCAGTCTAAGCCTCCCCGAGCACAATTTGAGATCATTTCTTTGTGTTGCTTGTCACCTGAGAAGAGACACTGATGTTCTCCTTGTTGCAAGCTGCTGGTTTCAGGTCTCTACTAAGCCTTCTCCAGACTAACCAACGCCAGTTCCCTCAGCCAGTCCTCCAAATACTTGTTTTCTACTCCTTTCACCAGCTATATTGCTCTTTTCTACACATGCTCAAGCAAATCAGTATTCTTTTTATAGTCAGGAACCCAAAATGGAACACAGGTGTGATTTTAACAGTGCTGTGTGCAATTGGTTTGGTAGTCCTGCTGGTCACACTTTTTCTGATACAGAAGTGTACTCAATACATCCCACACCCTCTGGTTATTGTTCATCTTTGTACCTTTTCTTCTTCAAGCTGAAGACAAAAGTGGAAATAACTCAATAAAGTATACGTCTCTATTCCATTTCCATCTCACTTTTTTTTTTTTTACCTTTTTCTTTTTTTCCCACCCACTTCTGTTTAACAGGAAAGTGACACAGTTTGACATGAATGTATGTGAAGAAGCCTGACATCCACACATCAGTTAGTAGTGCTTTGTAGTCCTTACCCTGGACTTTTAAGTGTAGTTTTAAGAAGTCTGATCTTCCCTCTCCATCCTCACAGACTATATATGGAAAAAAATCTCTGTCTTAGGTATTCTTTATATAACGACTAGTCTCTTATTTAAGAAATAAGAAATGAGAGAGTTTTCTTACATATATTCCACTGAAAGATCATCCTTTGCATCCAACTCAATTCTTTTTTTCACCCAAGAGAATTTTCTCACCCATTTTTTTCTTGTTTACATCACTTGTGGCTGATTTTTGTAAATCTTGTTATCTTCTTTCAGATATGGAATTTCATGAATCTAAGTACATGAAAATGAAACTAGAATTTCTTTTGTTTATAATGACTCCTAGAATTTTCAATAATGTTGGCTTAGGATAAATAACCATGTATGGCTTAGAAAATTATTAATATACAATGCTTTGACAGATTTTACTTCCTGTTAGTAAAATTGTTGATGGCTGGTAGTTTCTGTAAAGGTTAAAATACTTAATTTCCTATTTTTATTGTGTAAGGAATCTGTAGAGTATGTCTCTACAAGTTTCAGTTTCTGCTGAGGTTTTTAGTTTTTATTTTTTGGTGGTGATTTTTTTTTTTTCTTTGTGGGTGTACTTTACTATTGAGAGGTAAAAACCAGAAATAATAATTTGACCTTTCACTGTTGAAAGCATAAATATTTATTGCTCTCTTTAGTTATGTTTACTGGATTTGAAAAAGATTAGATGAATAGTAATATTGAACACTAATAGTATGTGGCCTTGTGACCTGTGGTGAACTGTAATTGTTCTTAGTTAAAACTCTTCCATATTGTTTTTAGAGATTTCCAGTATAAACACAGATAGGTTAAGGTGCACCAGCATTTGGAAGCCTACCATCTGGGAAAGATGGCATGCTTTGAAGAGAGTGCTCTTGGAGTGACAGGAAGCACTAAATTTCATAGACATGAGAAATGATAGTGTTAATGAGCTTCTCTCTTCAGTAGTACCGAATTATTTACCTCTTGCCTCTCATCCCCCATTCCCCCCCAAAAAAAAGATCAGCAGCATGGAATATCTCTTCTTAGTAATAACAAACAATAAATTATTTATACAGGTTATCAAGTAATTCATAGTTCTGAGTCAGGTGTCTATTGTACAGCTATTGCTTGAATATAAAACCAAAAAATGATTCTTAGCCAGAAGTGCTCAAAAAAGTTGAGAATAAATAAAGTTTGCCCTTTGGTTATTACCTTTCTGAGCCACAATGGGAGAAACTATGGAGGGGAAATGGAAAGGGCTAGCTGTTACCACTGGTGTTATTCATCAGTTGCTCAAATTTCATATGTTGTTAAGAAAGATGTCAACCAAAACCTATCTATGAGCTGAATGAATTACTTTGTGGAAGACAGTCTGCTCTTACCTATTTCTTTGTTCTTTACTCCTCAGTTATGGGAAGGGATTAGATATTTACTGTGCACACAGTGCAGTTGGACTTTATAAATCAAATGTTGTCAGGACTTTGAATTTGCTGTGCATTTGCAGACTGACTGCTGTGTGCATATTTGTGTTGAAATGCAGGCAGTGAGACTCAAACCTGGGGGAAGGTAGGATGTCAACTGAATTCAGACTTGTCACTTAAATCTTGTTCTATGAGTCTATTACTTTTCAATACACTCAACTCATTAAATAAAAAAAATTTCTGCTCATGACTGACCCGCTCTTAGAGGCTTCTCCTCAGTCCCACATATTTATTCTTCTGCAGGTGTTTGGCTGCCTCTAGCAGTACAGCTATAAGTTAAAATGAGTCCTGAGCTCCTCCTCTTTGAGTCTAAAATTTGCAAAGAGCACCCAACTTCACTATCTCTCTATACATATAAGCACAAATGGCTTTGAAACATTCATTTACGCTTGGTTTACTGCAGTTACTAGCACAATATTAAAATACACATGTTCTACTCACAGGAGCTGCCTGCAGTTTAAGTATAAAGCACTCCTCAAAGACAAGTTAAAAAAAAGAAAAAAAAGAAAAAAAAAAAAGAAAAGAGAAAAACTTAGGAATAATGAAAAATTACTTTACCTATTATGAGTGCCCCATAGTCCATCTACGTTTTTTTTTTTTTCTTTTTTTTTTTTTCTCATGTAGTGATCTGCTTTCCAGATGGCCCTTTCGCATGTGCAGGTGTGCAGCTGCTGAGTTCAAAGTACTGAGCAATTGGCTCATGGCTACTACTTGTTTAACCCTTGACTCTCCCTGATTGTATGTGAATTTACTGTGAACTGGAATCGAACTGGATTTTTTAAAATGTTTTCTTCAGAAGAAAAAAAGAAATATTCCGCTAGAAATCTGTTAATTTGTGTAACATTTTTAATCTATTGGGAACTGAGCTGTTTTAATGCTATCAATCAAAACATGTAAAGTTACACTAAGCCACTACTCAAAATTAGAAGGTATAAGTGATTCCAGAAATGTTTTTTCTTATTACAGATTCAGGAAAAAACTGGCTTGGGGATAGCACAGAGCACTCCAGTGCGCAGTCCTGCTTTCCTTTGTATCCCTTCTCCCTTCGGTTTGTGCATTAATATTTTTTCACAAGAAAACTGAAGCAAAGAGAAAAGATCCCAAATCATTTGAGATAATCTTCCTTCATTAGAAGTATCCAGTTTACTACCACTATAGATACGCATTCACACATCTTGGAAGTCATAAGGAACAACTTTTGTAAAATCAGATACCTGAGGTATGGACAAAGCAATGTAACTAAATGTGTAGACAGGTGCTTACTTACAGAACCAATACCATGCTTTTAGAGATTTATTACCCTACAGCTGTTCATTACACTGAAAGAGGATAAATGGATTAATATGTGAGTGCTCCAAGTTCATTTCAGCACAGAGTGAAATAAGCTCACATAAATTAGAATAAGTAATATTAAGTAGCTACTGTTTTTTTTTTTTCTTTTGTTGTTGGGTTTTTTTTTCCTGTTTTATTTCTTTCTTATCTGAGTGCCCCAAAATTAAACTGTGTTTATTTAGTTTAGTTTTGCTGATCATCAAAACACTATATTTTCTTGCTATTTGAAATTTTATTCCTAATGTATTTTATTTAGACTACTTAAATCTTTGCTTAGGAATTAGATGCAAACTATACCAGGAAAAGGAAAACGCAAATTTTGCTGCAAAAAATAGGTAATCAATTTGTGTGTTGTAGATTTGTAGGGACTTTCTTCCATAGATTTTTCTAGATCATGATACAACAGACATATTCTATGATTTAGAATTATGGCTAAGTTTTACTGCTGCTTAGGATTCTGGGTAAGTTTTAGAGCCTGTAGATGAGAAAATATAAAATAAAGAATATTAACATAAGGTGACTAAAGATTTAGTAAAGGAAGACAGTAAGTTATGCTGCAAAGGTAAACTATCAGATTATAAGGATCACTAAGGATGTTTTTTGGTGAATTTTGTTTTTAATAACTGTGTGAATTATTTTTTGATTTAAAAGGGATTCCTAATATTTTATTTTCTGATAATATGTGCTGGGGAAACTTCAAAGAAAGGAAAAAGCTTTGTTAGGTTAAATGTTATACTGTCATCTGAATGTACTACATATATTCTCCACTAACATGGTGGACATATACTCTTCAAAAACTATAAAAAAAATGAGAAAAGCCTTAAAAATGGACATTTTGTGGACATATTCATAGAACGACAGAATATCCTGACTCGGAAGGGAGAACATTGAGTCAGGTTGGATGGGGCCCTGGGCAGCCTTGTCTAGTATTAAATGTGAAGGCTGGTGGCCCTGCCTGTGGTAGGGGGTTTGGAGCATGATGATCCTTGAGATCCCTTCCAACACAAGCCATTCTCTGATTCTCTGATTCTCTGATTCTATTCTATGAGTCCATCTCCAGCCTCCACACAGCATCACCTGGAATTCAAACCCTGTGTCTAAGAATGTTGTCCCTCTCTTTGACAGGGACGCCCTGAGACCTTCCTTCAGACTTCCCCTGGCTGAAAAAGCTGAGAGACATCAAAGATTCTTCATACACATTGCCCTCTAGAATCTTTCACCATCTTTGTAGCCCTCCTTTGGACACTCTCCAATAGTTTTATGTCCTTTTAGTACTGTGACAACTGAAGCTGCACATAGTGCACTGTGTAGAGCATTATAAGAAGCCATGTTCAGAAGTATAGCAAATTCTGCCAGAAAAATTAAAATACAGTGCAATGCAAAAAGATAATTTATCATAAATAAAACAAAAAAACTCCAAGCTAACTCCTGAGCTTGAGTGCTGCTGTATTTCACTAAAGTTGCAAAGTGTCTTAAACTATTGTTAATATCCTGACCATAAGACAATTGATGATTGCACAACTGCAGGGTTTGATTAAAATATTATTAAGTGCCTACTATTTCTAAATGTATTGAATTATTTGAAATATCATATCTGACTATTTAAATTAAGGAGTTTTTATAATGCATTAGTCCAGGTGATCCATTATGGGGTAAGCGTATGCAACCTCAAATGTAGCATTTCTTTGCTAATATGCAGAATTTGTCTAATTATTTTTAAAAAATACTTATTATTCACTGCTGCAATTGCATTGCATTTTTGGTTTTGTGTACAAATCATACCCAGGGCTCTGCTACCTGTATTGTAGTTTCAGTACTATCTTATAGGTGAGGTTTAATTTTTTTACCACTTGCAAATATCAATCAGAAAAAAACATTTTTGACATGTCTGCACAAAAAAAAAAACACCAAACTTGTGCACATGTAATGGAAAAATAAGTAAGATAAAATAACCCAAAACCTTAATAAGAGGAATTATAGCACTTGATAAAGTCCTTGGGAATTGCAATAGGTACAAGTAAAGCTTCCAGTCTTTGAAAAGATCAATGGCAGGTAGGCAGTCTCCTTTTGGTTATATTTCTTCTATTGTTCTGGTATGGACAATTACCATGTCAAAGGACTTAACCAAGTGCTTTAAAATGTCATTAATTTTCTTAAATGAAATGTATCACAGGAAATAGCTCCAGTGCTTAATTTCAGAAGGTTGGATAATATACTGTGGACCTATCTTGGGACAAGCAGTCCTCTAACATTTTGTTTGCCCTTGAGATTTAGAAGGAATCATATCTATAGTATTCATAATAAGTAGCAATTTAACCAAGTTCAAATTAGATGTGAACAAATGGATTAACAAGCACCTCATTAAAATTTTAATTTCCATTTCATTTATCATTTTAATAGAATCAATTTTGTTTCAGGATGGGGGAGGATTCATTTCTAAGTCTAACATTAATTTCACTTGTTTTTATCAATAGCTTGGTGTATATATATATATATATATATATATATATATATATTTCTGCAAAACGTACTTTGTATGGTTTCCAAGTATCTGATATGCACATAAATGCATAAAGATTAAGGAAAATTCAGAAGAACTTGCTGTACATTTTTTAAAATACTGAACTTTACAGTACGGTTGTCTCTAGTATTTTCCTCTAAAATGTTGATGTGTGCTTGCTGGTAAAGATTTGAAGAAGAATAAATGAATTTTAAATAAGTCAATATTGAGGAGTTACTTTCAGTGAAATTATTTAAATAGCATTGTAAATATTTCAGAACTAAAATCTGACTTTTGAACTTTACTTTTAGATTTGACCTTCAAAGCAATATTTAAAAGTACTTTGAATCCCTCAGATAGCATATATCATAAATGTGTGCAGAATTTTCATAATTTAATATTTTTTCTCTCAAATCTATTAGAAAACTCCAACTTAAATATATCTGTTATTGAGAAAGGATTTCACAAAAAAATGCAATTCATAAATATGTGTTTTAGTAACATTTTTATTTTCAGGGGAAAAAATAAAGGAATATAAGAATTGCATTTTGTGGTGATTTGCCTGTCTTTTGAAGTTCCTATTTCCAGGAGTGATATGTTTCAAGTTTTACATGCTGATTTTTAGTTAAGCTTCTTTTTACAAACATGTTATTCCTGAAAATGTTTCTTTAATGTTGTTTTCCATTTTATACTGACACACATTATACTGATCATTGTCAGACACAAAATCATTATTTAGAGACATTTTTTTTTGTGTACTGAATGAAATACATATACTATGTATTTTACAATATGAATGTAAAATTGGAAAGTCTTGATTAAATAATATAGAGAGATTTAAAACACCTTTAAACATTGATATGGGAATGGAAGTAGTTTTTACTCTAATTGCAGACCATGTGCAAGAGAGAGAAAAGAATGGAAATAACATGTCAGACTTGTGAGATTTTTACCACATGTGTTTTAGACAAGAGAGGCAAAAAATTTAAAAAGAAGCCACATTTAAACCTATCTGAAGAATAATCCAGATCAAATAAATAAAACGCTTATTTAAGATGGAGAAAAGTGTATTAGACTCCAAGTGCATTGGTGCACAAGGCTAAACTCAGTGTTTATCAGTCTTTTTTTTTTTTTTCTAAATAAATATTATTAAAATGGAATATTGTACTCAATTTTAGATATTTGTATTTCACTAAATTTATTGCAGCTACTATTATTGTTGATTCTTTATATTTAATCTAATCTGCAGTCTCTGTGTGGCACAAAAATCTTACATAGGCGCCAGAGAATAGTAAAGTTGTAGAAACACAGAATCATTTGAACTGGAAGGAACCTTTAAAGGTCATCTGGTCCAGCTCCTCTGCAATGAACAGGTAGGATCAGGTTGCTTGGAGCCCTGTTCAGTTCCAGTTCTTCACTAACTTAATTGGAAAAAAACCCTTTTCTAAATATCCCCTTTCACTCTGAAACCATTTCCCTTTGTCCTGTCACAACAGACCCTGTTCTCCTTTCACATTAGATGCTGAAAAACAAACAAACAAACAACTAAACCCCTCTCCAAACAAAAAAAAAACCACCAGGAGTTAAGTTAGATAACTTTAAAAGTAGCCAATTACATAGCAAAGCACAGATACCAGATTTCATATTTTTCAGTTGAAGTGGTTCTGAGAACACAGAGGAATTTTCTTTATCTTGTTAAGAAAGACTTAATGAAGGAAACTGTTCTAATTTCATATCTGAAAGATTAAAAGAAAGATTAAAGATAAACTTTGTATGAACGTGTATACATGCATATCATCATACTTTGGGATTGTTGCAGATAGTGGCTGACTACTTTTTTCTGGA